CGAACTATAATTGAAGATCAACGGATCTTCAAAGACCAACGGGTCTCCAGAAATCAACAAATTTCTTTCTCTACTGCAACATTATCCCGGGAGATCAATTGATTTCCATAAGAATAAGGGATAATCTATAATCAGTTTAATTTGTTGTAGATCCACGACACCTGAGGACAGGCCGTATCTACAGGATGGCCGAATGTAGAAAATAAGCCACGGAACCCTTCACGATTCTACCTGCTCCGGCTCGGTCACTTGGACCCAAGGGACAATAACACAAAGCACCCCTTTTTTATGTAGTTGTTTACATAACTATTTGGTCACATTTAATTTTGGCCCTAATATTTTAAAATCAGTCTTTTTACGGCATTTGTAAAATCAACTACGATTCGTATTTGTGCTGTCGGCTTTTTCGTGTCATCACGTAAATAAACTTTTCAAATCTAAAGCGTGGTTTTTGTTAAAACTCTTACACTTCGTCAATGGGAATTCAATCAATTAATTCTATGGTAAAATTACCACCTATTAAAATTCCAATTTTTGATGGCCAATATGGTAATTGGCTGGAATTTAAGGATGCGTTTGTAGCGCTGGTTGATGGCAATACTTCCCTGAATGACATTCAAAAATTCTATTATCTAAGATCTTCTCTTGAAAATGAAGTGCTAGGAGTAATTAAGTCGGTTGAAGTTTCAGCTGCGAACTATCGAATTGCATGGGATTTTTTAATTGATCGGTTTGAAAATAAAAAATTAATTATATTCAATCATATAAGAGCTATATTTGAATATCCCAAACTAATTAGGGAGTCGTATGTGGATCTTAGAACCTTGTTTGATTCAATAACAAAGCATTTGCGTTCACTAAAAAATTTGGGTGAAAGTACAGATACATGGGACAGCCTAATTATTTACATTATGGTTAATAAATTTGACCCCATTACGCGGCGTGACTGGGAAGGTTATAAATACCAAAATGATCTACCATCCATGAATGATTTAAATATTTTTTTGAAATTAAAATGTGAGGTTTTAGAAAAACTAGAAATTTCGATAAATGATAAATGTCAGAACGTAGGGAATAATAAAATAGTACATTAAAATACAAGTTTCATAAGACGTGATTTTATCGCACGAGCCCTATATTAGAAAACGAGCCGGAGGCGAGTTTTCTAAAGGGCGAGTGCGATAAAATGTCTTATGAAACGAATATTTTATACTATTTTTTCTATTTTGGTATTGTTTAATTAGAAAAAACAATTTTTTCTTGGAAATTTTATTCTCATATTTCCTGATTTCATATGTTTAGGTTGGTAACACTACATGCCAAACATGACAATTATGTGCGCGTCATTCATTCAATTTTGAATTTTGAAATGTCAGTAGTTAAAGTTTAAATTTTAAATTTAAATAGGTACCGAAAATGACTGATTTTGAGAGAGAAATGGAAAATTGTACTCCCCCAGAGCTACGAAAACTCGCACAAAGTAGCCTAGATAATTTGCTACCGAAAAAATCTAAGAAGGTTTATGAAAAAGAATATGAAGTTTTTAAAAGATGGTCCAATCAGAATGATGTAAAAGTTATATCAGAAAATGTTTTAATTGCTTATTTTGATAGTGAAAGCAAGGTAAAAAAGGCTTCTACTTTATGGTCAATTTATTCTAAATTAAAAGCATGCATAAACATTTATGAAAATAAAGATATTGCTCAATACATGAAGTTGCAAGCTTTATTAAGACGGTGCTCGGAAGGTTACGAACCGAAGAAATCGCAAATTTTGGAATATGAGCATATTAATAAATTTATAACGGATGCTGATAACAATACTTGCCTCTCTTTAAAGGTAAATACCTAATGAATACTAGTAAAAACTCCAATTAGTTTTCAAACACATTGCAATTTATTATTATTTTTTTATTATATTTTGACAGTATCCAATAACTTGGACCTACAAGGAAGAAAATAAATATGTATATCAATTTACATCGAAAATATTTTAGGTTGCACTGATTATGGGGTACAGTGGAGCATGTCGACGAGACGAACTGGTCAAAATGACAATAGACGATTTACAGTTTAAAGATGGTTCTATTCTTGTCACAATACCCAAAACAAAAAATGGAGTACCAAGGTTATTTATTGTTACAGAGCCTTTCTGGGTATTGCTTATAAAGCAATATATAGCTACGAGGCCGAAAAACACAACTCATACGAGATTGTTTCTGACATATCGGAATGGCTACTGTGTAAATAGCCCTATTGGCATAAATAAAATGGGGGCAATACCTAAAATTATTGCTAATTTCTTGAATCTGCCAAATCCGCAAACCTTCACTGGTCACTGTTTCCGGCGTTCCAGCATCTCACATTTGGCAAATAAGGGAAACGATCTAATTACCATTGAACAGCATGGAGGGTGGAAATCGTCCGCTGTGGCTGAAGGCTACATAGAAACATCCTTGAAAAGAAAAATAGAAGTAGCACAGACGCTATGCGAAGCCTCTACAGCTTCGGTATCTGAAATGTTACCAAGTACTTCTACCACTTCAAATTTGGATAAATCATTTATTGAGGGTACAAGCTTTGAACATCAGGTAATACGAAAAAATATACAGGCATATTCCATATAAATTAAATAATGTACTCATATTAATCTATTTGTTTCATATCTTCTTCACAGCGAACTGAGCAGCACACACAAAACATCACCATAAATAGGCAAGGAGGCGAACAAAATTTAACCAACGTGCCTGAAATGAAAGTAATTGCTAATGAAAATAGTTCAGTCACAATTAATGTATATAATAACTGCACGATTCATCAAAAATAATGTTATTCAGTATTCAATTTGTAATTAATAAATTATATTGTTGTGTTTATCACTTGTCTATGCTTTAAGGTTATGAGACGTTCTGCCTTAAGCTGCGTACAGACTTGAACATCACGCCGAGCAACAAACAGAACAACGAACCGAACGGAACGGCAATCGAAACACTTATTTGGACGGCGATACGAAAGCGTTTGCAAATGGGTTCCCAAATCCTGCCCCCATCTAAATTACTGTTTTGATTGCGGTTCGGTTCGTTGCTCTGTTTGTTGTTCCGCGTAATGTTCAAGTCTGTACGAAACTTTCGAATATAGGAGAATATAGAATTAGCATTGTACCTCATTAATCATTATGTGTAGCGTGTAGCTAATCTGAAACTAATTAAAATTTGAGTAAATTAGATCATTACCTTAATTTTTTTAGTATTTTCCAGTGTGTTTGTGTGTTGGTTAAAAACAGAATTAATGGCCGTTTCCACCGACCATTTTAAGGAAGCCTTAGCGATAAGTATTCCTTAAAATAACATTTTACATGGAGCAATATCACTAAAAGGAATACTTATCGTTAAGACTTCTTAAAATGGTTGGGTAAACGGGGCTTTATCTTATAAAATCGCGAATGACAGTTCGATGACCATCAGTCAGTCAGTGTTACCAACTTCCGATAAGTAAAAAAGGAGTGTTACAAAGAGCTTCTTTGCGAAACTACTTTTAGTGTCGAAAAGACTTCGATATGACACCAAAATAGAAAAAATATAGTAAGAATCATTTGGCCCTTGACAAAGAACCTCAAGGTGAACCTAATTTTAAATGTTATTATTGTAATAAACCGCACGGTATTTATAAATGTGATAATTTCCTAAAATTAACTATAAACGATCGTATAAATGCGGCCAAAAATTTGAAGCTCTGTTTAAATTGCTTGAGAGACTCTCATCCATCTTGGCGATGTGTGAAATCTAGATGTTCTAAATGCAGTAAGCCTCATAACAGTTTGTTGCACTTAGATTCATTTTTGAGCAAACAAAATAATCAAAATCAAAATTCACACGAAACCAATGGTGGAAATGGCGAGCGGACTCAGCAACCCAGCCTGCAAATAAAATCGGGTGAAGGCGCCAGTGGTACCGCCGCCCTTTCCCTAAATACGCAAGTTTCTGAGTGCGATGTTGCCGGCTCAGACAGTAAAACTGATTATTCTCAAGTGCTACTTTCCACACCTGTTATTAAATTAATAAATGATGAAAATAAATCTATGTATGCTAGAGCATTGCTGGATAGTGGCTCTCAGGGAAATTTTATATCAAGGGAAATATGTAGTAAATTAAATTTACAGCAATTTAAAATTGTTCAAAAGGAAAGCGCTACGGATGGCCCCCCTGTCAGAGCGAACCATGTCGCTACCGACGACCCCTCTAAAACCAAAGAATGGGCCGGTCCAAGCAGCAAGCAGCGGACGAACGACGCAGCGCCGGTAACGGCGACATAGAACAGAACAAGACCTTCGACAGAACAATACGTTTATTTTTTGAATTGTCAAATTTCCTGCGAATAAAATAATAATTATGTAGTTGAATCTTAATTAAAAAATACAGTCCACTCATATTGAAGAGGTGAAGCAACACCAGCCATAGTATTTGGTCCATCTCGCCCGATAGAAAACAGCAAAGATTCTCGAATTTGGAAGAAACAAGAAGCCATTTTGTGGATTGCCAATTATTCCATATTCCATGACTACGTTTATTTCACACGATTAATCCGGCTTAAATGTGGATTGACTTAAATAAGGATTAAAATTTAGGCTAATTCCCAAGTGTTTATATCGATCCGAAAAATTGGATTACATTTACTATTTAATCCGTATTTAAGCCAGTTATGTGCGCGTGCGCGACCAATGTGCCTAGCTTCAGAGAATAACAAACATTAACTGTCAAAGTATCAGCTGGTTATTGGCGGTAAGTTTGGTTTTCGTTTTTGAGGGTTGGGAAATGACTTAGAGGAAATGAAAAAAGATCAAGGTTAGGTTACTTTGCCGGCTTGGCCCTTGTTTTGAATTGGTTTGTTGTCTGTGTACAAACAGTGCTGTGGTGCTTGTATTTGTTATGGAAAATGGAGGAAAATAAGAGAAAGCCGAACTGGAGTGAAGAGGGAACACTTTGTTTCATTAATCTTATTAAGGAGAAAAAAATCCTGAAAATAATGGATGGGAAACGTTTCAGGGCCCAAGAAATATTCAAGTCCCTCGAAAAAGAGATGAAAGACAATGGGTACCAGAGAGACGCCGCCTCATTAAAAGTTAAATTCAAGAACCTAAAAGGTAAGTTTCAAGCTAAGATTTATTGCGGTCTGTATGTGTCATAGAAAAACATTAAATGCTTTTTTTTTACTTGGAGAGGAATAAGCCAACAGACAGAAAATATTCTTTGTCCCCTTATAGGTTAGCATTGATATGTTTTTCTTTGCTTTCTGCACTTTACTTAAAAATAAAATAATGCTGATTGTTTTGTTTGCAGCTGATTACTACAAAGTACAGAGCCGAAATGAAGTCAGTGGGTCAGATAGAAAAACCTGTCTGTTTTTTGAGGAGTTGAATGAATTGTTCGGGGATCGCCCTGCAGCAGGCATGGAGGGCGTTGATTCAAGTTCGCAGATACTGGACTCTGCTACGTCTACCGATGAAGACAACAACGCGGCCTCGAACGCGGCATTAGAACAGATTGTGGAAGTAGAAGAGTTTGTAGTGACAGAGGATGGCTCTCTGGAACCAATAGAGCCTACATTTGCAGAGGCCTTTCAACCAGGTATACCTTCAAGCTCCAAGGCGAAACCTGAAGAGGCACTTGTAGAAACCGCCTGTGGGAGTGGAACTGTTACTCCAAGAAGAAGCAAGAGTATCACTCCATCTAAAACCATAAAAACTATAACAGAGATTAAAGGATCCATTGAGGAGTCTCTCAAGACTATAAGTGACTCACAAGAAAGGGACAACGCTTTCGTAGATAAGCTCCTCAAGGGTCAAGCCGCCCTTCTATCACAACTAACTAAAGAGTTTTTCGAAGGATTAACAAAAGTGATTGGTAAGAGGAAGAGGTCAAGCCAAAGCTCTAGCCAAAGCAGACAAAAAAGGACGAGAATTTGCCCCTCTTCATCATCCTCAGAGACCTCAGATTCGGACAACTGATGTAATAAAAATAATAAATCAAAACTTATAAAATTAATTTAGTATTATTTTCTGGAACACCTGTAATAAAGATGGGATAAAAAATATAAGGAACTCTGAGCCGTAATAACTTTATTCCATGACAAAATACAAAAATTATAAATTCACTTGAAACCAGTTTTCGGCATTTCACAACAAAATAACAGCTGTGTTTCTATTGAAATAATTATATTGCTGAAAGAATAAACAAACTAAACTAATAAATGTAAGCAATTATAAAACTCCTAATTCACAGCTTGTCTTGAAACTCTTAAAGGAAAATTGTTTTGCAAATAATCACATAAATGATTTCTTAAACTACCTCCTGTTAAAGAGTCTTGATGCACACTTCCTCTTTTTTTTGGTTGAGGAAAGATTAATTCAGCTTTTTCAATTTATTCTGCCCAGTTTAATGAAAATTTATCCTTTTTTGTCTCGATAATGTTGTGAAGGGTGCAACATGCAGCTACAATACTAGGGACGAATGTATAATTCACTTCGCACTTTTTTAATAAACGTCTCCAACGTGATTTGAGCCTTCCGAAGGCTATTTCAACAGCTACCCTTGCTGAGCTGGTATAAACATTATAGGAGTCTTGTTCAGCAGTCAAACAACGAGATGAATAAGGTTTCATTAGCCATGGTAACAGAGGGTAAGCAGGATCACCTAGTATGACATATGGAACCAACTTACCTTGTAATTGAATTGCTGCCTAAAAAAAATATTGTAAATAAGAGCTGATAATTTCGAGTACCGACTTCAAGTTCACTGGATCATATCTAGGAAAAAATTGTTGATCCAGTGAACTTTATGTAGGTACCTACATAATTCAAGTATTTTAAAAACCTTTGGCATTATTCTAGTTATATTTTTATATATATCTGAACCTGCTAACACAGCAGCATCATGTGTTGAACCTGGGTTTTTCACACATATCTATAAATCGGTATCTATGGTCCACAACACCTTGCAAGATTATAGATGCCCATCCTTTTCGATTTATAAAATCTCTATGACCATCTGTAGGAGGCTGTATGGGAATATGAGTTCCATCAATGGCTCCTATTACATTGGGCAACTTTGATTTATTTTCAAAATAAGAAGCATTTTCTTTGGCTGTAGCTTCAGTGGGCATTTTAATAAATTGCGGTAACAATATTTTATTCACAGCTTTGACAAATTCATGAACTATATTATGTACTGTTGTTTTATGGATCCCAAATGTGTGTCCAACAACCCTGTACTCACTTGAACTAGCCAGATAGTAAAGAGCTACTGCAACCTTTTTTTCTACATTACTTATAGTTCTGCTTTTATTTAATACATTCTTTTTTGGTGTAAGCTCTTGTTTCAACTCATCCACGATAAAGTTAAAGGTGTTTCGCCCTACTCTAAAGTTTTCAAGCCAATCTTCTTCCCCGAACTCATTTTGGACTATACGTTCCCAAAAATCGTAACTACGAATTTTATTTTTTCTGCGTTTCTTTCGTTGAATACGCATTTCATCAATTTTTAATTTGTTGACAAGAAGTTTTAGGTATAAACTAAAATATAAAAGTAATGTAATTGCCTGGTTAATTACGAAATAGAGAAGTCTTACCACTGGTATTTCCTCTCGTATTTTCTGCGCCTCCATAAAAGTATACTTGAATTAGTATTGAAAATCACTTGAGACACGAAAAAAAAATACATACTACTGAGTGAAATAATTGTTTTCCTGTTTATTTTCATTTTGGAATATGATTCTTTGGAAAAATTCAATACAGGAAATAATAATTGAAAATTTATAAACAAACATACCTAACCTCAAAATAATGTTGACAGTCGAAAATAATGAAGTTGGCAACAAACAACGCTACTAATCCGGATTAAGGCGTTTATATCGGAATAGTGGATTAAAAAACTTAGTCCAATCCTACATCTTTGCAGGATTGACTTAAAATTTTAAGCTGGCTTAACATCGGCTTAGGCGGTGTTTATTTCACAATTTTTAATCCGATATTTAAGTCAATCCACAATTAAGCCGGATTAATCGTGTGAAATAAACGTAGTCATGATTATTGTATCCTTTCACTTACCTTTTCTCGAATTTTACTGCTGCCTTTTTATGCAATGATGAAGTATAATTATTTGTTTTGTTTGTAGGGTATTGGAAATCGTAAGTACCTGCATTTTAATATTTTGATGTTTGATTATCTACTTGAATTATTAGGTATTTAATAAAAATTGAATTGATTTAATGAATTTTGATCTATTTTGGCCTTTGTAAATTTGTTTTTTATGGTTGGATTTCGATTAATTGAAGATATTTAATGTTATATTTCAGAAATTTATTGCAAGCTATTGATTAATGATTGTCTGGTTTTATAAGAAAGAGTTTTAAGCGGGCAATAAATTTCAAAAATTAAAAAAAAAAAACAAAGGGATCCTTCAGGATTTGGCTATTACAGGGGTCGTTCAAAGAGTTTTGAGAGATTATTTGAGATTTGATTTCAAAAAGATTGAAGGTTTGTTCAAGTAAATGATTATGAATATTAAATTTTGATTTTAATGGTAATGATTAATGATTAATGAGCTGATTTTATTCTCTCTGAGCGTTGATTAAATTTGATTTGTTCGTGGATTTATTAATTAAAAATTTATAAAATGTCAGACTTAGAGACTTTGATAAGAAAACGTGGTAGTATTAAGTACAAATTAACCAGTTTTCTTAAATATTTTGATGCTTTAGAAGTCAAGTGTGTGGCTAACCCTGAGTTAGCTTCTAAAGAGGTTGTTGAATTGCAAATTAGAGTTGATAAGCTGGAAACATTTCTCAATGATTTTGACATTGTACAGGATGATATTGAAATGACTTGTACATTAGACCAGCTCGATAAACAATATCAAGAAAGATCTGTCTTTACTGATTCATATTATGAAACTTTAGCTAAAGCTAAAGATTTTTTAGGTAAGTATACTAATGATTCCCAGTCTGTTGGTTCAGGTTCAGGTGTGGCCTCAAATGTAGCAGCTTCTGCTGCACCCAATGTAGTGTATGATAATACCGGTGTCAAATTACCCCCAATTAAATGTCCCATTTTCAACTGTGACTCTAGCAAGTGGCTCGAATTCAAAGACACATTTCAAGCTTTATTCTATGATAATTCTGCGCTGTCTGATATCCAAAAATATCATTATTTAAGATCTTGTTTAGCTGACGATGCATTAAAAATTATCAGTAGTTTGGAGTTTGCTGCGCATAATTATAATGATGCTTGGAAATTGTTATGTGATAGATTTGATAATCCAAGATTGCTAGTAAATAATCATCTAAAGTCACTTTTTGAGATGGAAAGTTTAACAAGAGAGTCATCTTTAGGATTGAGGAATTTGGTCGATTCTGTAAATAATAATAATAATAATACTTTTATTGTCAAAACCAAAAAAAATAAAATTTACAATCAATTTTACATAAAAATATTAATATATACATATGGTTGACAATGGGCACTAGAAAAAAAACGCAGACATCTGAATGATTCAGATACTGTTCAGGCCCTATTTTAGATAAATAATGAAATCAAAGAATAGAAGACAATTTTGTGCGTTCGATTTACATCTTATATGAAAAAAATTAAAGAATAAAAAACATACATAAGTAAACAGGAAGAGGAAAAGGAGAGGATTAGAATGACAATGGGAGGAGAATAAGGAAAACTAAAACATGGTTAACTTTCCACCAGAGAGCGAGACATCACTATTTAGAAGCAAACGTGATTTAAAATGCTTTCCAAAAGTAGATGACGACCAGCGCCAATCAACAAAGTCCAGCGAGTTTATCAAAGTAGCTATATTATAAGAAAATTAACGTTTGTACTGTTCTTTTCGGTGCTGTGGTATTCGGATCACATTTCTTCTTCTTAAATTTAAGTTGTGCACATCAGTGCGAAATGTAATTCTTCTGTACAGGTATTGAGGGGATTTACTTTTGATTAATTGATAATAAAACTTACCCCGGTGCAACTTAAAACGTTTGAACATATTGAGCCACCCGGACTCAGCCAAGTAGGGTGAAATATGATTTCTCCTTTTAACACCATAGATTAAACGTAAACAAGAGTTTTGCACTTTTTGAACTCTGTATCTATCAACAGCATCAAGACAAGGGCCATAAACACCACTACAGTGATTAAATTGTGAAAGGACCAAAGCCTCACAGAGTAGCTTTCTAATATCTTGGGAAAGGCAATGTCTATTACTATAAATTACTTTAAGATTACTATAAGCAGCCCGTAATTTTGAGATCACATGATCCTTGAAGCGCAATCTTGAATCCAACACTAAACCCAGACTCTTGCAGGAGTCAGAGTAAGGTACTGCTACATTATTGAGTTTAATTACCATATTACTTTTAACCCTACGTATTTGAGTATCGTTACCAAATAATATTACCGACGATTTATTGGGGTTGAGTCTCAGTAAATGATCAGAGGCAGTGGCATAGAAACTATTTAAATCAGTATTGATTTTATCCTCAGAGTCAACCAGTTCATCATCGAGAAAAGAAAATAGTATTTGTGTATCGTCGGCATAAAAATGATAGCTACAATAAGTGAGTGAATTTAAAAAATTTGAAGTAAAAATTGTATACAACAAAGGGCCAAGAATGCTACCCTGGGGTACACCCATTGCGAGGTTCAAGGGGTTAGAATAATTATAATTAACGACAACCTGTTGTACACGATCTGACAAGAAAAAAACTTAGGAACTGGACCGAAGCATCACCAAAACCAATGAAGTGAAGATTTGAGACAAGTATTTCATGATTGAGAACATCAAAAGCCTTACTAAAATCCAGGAGTACCAAAGCACTGACCTTATTTTCATTCGATGCCCTAAAAATGTCGTCAGTGATATCAGCTAGTGCACTCTCACAGCTGTGATTTGGTCGAAAGCCTGACTGCTTGGGAGGCAAAATATTATATAAATTTAAAAACTC